GGGCGGCAGGGCCCACGGTGCCAGCGTCATTTTTAGCAGTCTCACTTTCTAAGTTAGTCAGCGGCCATAATCCGACACCCACACGTGGGGGCCGATGACTTCCTGCTGCCTCTTCTAATTTCAGCAGACCCCAGAGGCAGGGCGGCACGGGTGGGAAGCCACAGGGGCCACACGGAGCTTCCCAGAAGCCACCTTACCAGAGGGCGCGGGGCCCGGCCCCGAGGGAGCTGCACTCTGTAGCAACTTGTGACCCAGGCTGGCCCCTTTGGCCCAGGCGTGTAGGTGGGATCCCATGGGATCCCTTGGGCACAGAACCCCTGGACCCTGCAGAACCACAGGCGCCCTGGTGGCATCCCAAGAAGCCGTGTTACCCGAACGCTGAGGAGGAAGGTCACGCCTTCAAGTATCTTCCCTCGGCCTGTTCTTGCCTGGTTTTTGTTGTGATTCGTTTTCTCTTTCCTCACTCTGTTCTGTCTTTGTTCTTCCTAAAAGCTCATAGCTCACATGGGACCAAAGTATTTTTTTCTGTGGGTACAGAAACAGATGTTCAGGTCAAACCCCGATACAGTCACGTGCCGCAGCTGCAGACACTGGGCATCCCAGGCCTCTCAGAGTCGGGAGACGTCAGCTGAGAGCACCCCAGCCACTCATGTTACCAGCAGAGTTGCTGAAAGACCCACAGAGGCAGACACACGCTCTAGAAATCTCTGGGGAAACAACTCAGGATGAATTCCAGGGAGACGGTATGGTCTATGGAAAATTGACCTCAGACGGACCTGGGGTCGAGGGTGGGCTCTGCTTCTTCCCAGCTGTGCACACACCCCCTCAGTGTGGCATTCCATAGGGAGACACCCTGTTGGCCCCCCACAGGTGGAGAAGGGGAGATGCCATGATCTCTGGTGGCGTTTTGCGGGGTTGAAGGAAACCTGGGCTTGTATGCGTGTCTCTGTGAGGGAGGGTAGTGCTAGGGACCTGGAGACCGGCCTTCTGGGGGAGAGGCAAGGGCTGTGATACAAGCAGGTCTGCTGTGTGACCTTGGACAAGATCCTTCACCTTCGTGAGCTTGGTTTTCTCACCTTTGATCTTGCAGGGTGGTTGTGAGGATCGAGGATGATGTAAATTAATTGGCGCCCAGTGACGGGCAAGTATGAGGTGCTCAATAAACGGCCACTGGCGATTATGTTCAGAATTGCCCGGGGTGTCCCTGGGGGACCTGTGCTGTCCCCATGCACACAGAGACTCCTCGTTGCTTGGCACCGACTGCAGCAGGAAACGTTGACCTCTGTTCACCCCGAGGCAGGGCGTGGTGTTGCTCAGGGCTTGGGACGGTGGCGTAGGTGCCTGCAGGGCGTGTCAGAAGTCTCAGGTACAGAGGCAGCCCCTGGAGTAGAGGTCCTGAACCTCAGGGTCCATTCCCCCTACAGAGGCTTCAGGGAACCCCCAAATGGTATGCAAAATGGGCATTCATCAGCTCTCAAACAGGGCCGTGACTAGAAGAATTAGGGACCTTTGTTCAGCAAATCAGACAGCAAGACCCACTGTGAGAGGCCACGGCAGGTGGGTCTGCTCTGCCCTGCAACGCTGGGCATGGCCAGCTGACCTCACCCCATGCCTCAAGTACAAGCCAGCCAGAGACATCAGTGTCTGACCTGGACACCCGCGCTGCAGAGGCCTGAGATCCAGCTGGACCACTGGTTAAGGGTCTGGGCGAGAGACTGGAGCCCCGGGAGTCAGGGCGAAGGCCAGTGGGCCAAGCCTCTGGCGGGGCTGGATCAGGACTGGGAAGCCTGACGTGAGGCGGGGTGTCAGGGGGGTGGAAGTCATAAGGGCCCGGGAAGGTAGGGGCGGAGGAAATGAGGTAGGTCCACCACGTGAGCCTAGGGCTCCTTCTCATCCACTGGAATGTGGCACATGTGAAGGGTGGGCCCTAGGGTCCGCCCCTGCTGGAGTGGGCTTGGTCAGAAAGGTCAGAAAGTAAAACGATCTCTCTAGGCCTTGAATTCCAGTTTGAAGAAAATCACTGCAGGATCTTACCTCAGAACCTATTCAGAGACCTCAGGCTGTGGGCTGTAGGTGTTCCCTCTCTCTCTTTTGCTCAATTTCTTTTTCTTCCTTTTTTTGCCCCTAATTTTACTTGCCTTTATGTTTTTCTCATAAGCCACTTAAATCATTTTGAAAAGCAGGGAGAGGATAAATGGAAAGAAAAGAAAAGAAATGAATTTGTTTATAGAAAAGCTATCTGGAGAAAGTAGGCTTTCAGTTGTGGGATGTTTTGTTCGCTTTTCTAAAAGACTTTAATTTTTGATAATTTGATTATGCTCATTAAAGACAGGTGGAAAATTTGTAAACATAAAAAAAGAAAGAAAAAGAAGTCCAAAGTTGCATTATACGAACAGCCACAATTAGTATTTTGGTATGCTTCCTTTTCCTACATATATACGTTAAAACTTTTTTTTGTATTCATCCTATAAATGGTATCCAGTTTTCTTACTGAACATATATCATATATAACATGGACAGTTTTCTTTGGCACTAAAATGTCTTTCTTTAAATGTTTTAAATTTATTTTATTTATCTTGGTTGCGCTGGGTCTGAGTTGCAGCAGGCAGGCTCCTTAGTTGCAGCATGTGAACTCTTAGCTGCAGCACGCATGTGGGATCTATTTCCCTGACCAGGGATCGAACCCGCGTCTCCTGCCTTGGGAGGCAGATTCTTAACCACTGTGCCACCAGGGAAGTCCCTAAAAAGTCTTTTTAAGCATTTAAATACCTCAGACTTTCAGAGTTAGACATTTAGACACCCCCCCCGCCCCGTTTACACTATTATAAATAACTCATTGACAAACATCTTTGTCCATAAAGTTCTTTTCAAAGTTAAGGTTATTTCCTTGAGAACAGCTCAGAACTGGACTTGAGGGGAGAAGGCTGGGGCCAACAGCAGTTGTCAGTGTGAGCGTGTGCTTGCGAACGTGTGAGGGCTGCCCTTGCGGTGGCCCTGCAGAGAATGGACCCCACCCCCATCCCCGAGTGAGCCCAGTGACTCATTCCCTCACTCTGTGGATCTTGGTGGTGGTATGGAGGGAGAGAGAAGGCATTCCAGTGACTCATCTATGGCGCCTGCAATCCCTCTGACCCTTCAGGCTGACCGGGGCCAAGCCCTTCAGGCCTGGTGACCAAATACCCACCCATGTCAGGGTGGCCTCGGGACGGCGGAGATCAGCGGAGCCTGATGAAGTGTTTGTGTCCCGCACGGCCGGCCTGCCCAGCACGCAGCCCTGCGCTCGAATGTGCTCAGGCCTGTGCCTCATCCAGCCTGGCCGAGCTCCCTTCCAAGGCAGGCTGGGCTGGTTTTCTCCTCAGAAAGTCTAGTCAGCAGGGTCAGCCAGCGGATAGACTAAAGTTAACTTAGCTATTATTGCTGTTTTGTTAATGAGGGGAGGACCGGCTGTGAAGATGCCAAACCATTCGGAAATGTTGCACAGTCCTTGGGATTTAAAGTTCAGGAGAAAGAGAGCAGTCAACAATGATTTTAAGTCCTGACTGGACTCCCCAGGGTCCCTTGTACTTCACTGAGCTTTCATTTTACTATTTTTTTTTTTTGAAAAATACTTTTCCTATGAAGATATGAATCTTGGAAGCTGTGAGAAGTGCTGGCACTATCATTGGACTCATCAGCGAGACGGCGCTCTTTTGTGGATGGAAGGTCAGGGTGAAGTTAAGCCCCGAGGGCGGTGGAGGACAGGCTGGCAGGAGATGGTCACCGCAGCCCTGGGGGTCAGCTACGGCATGACTGACCGCTGAGAACTCATCCTACGTAGCTGTGGGGTTGGAGGGAAAAGGAGCAGGACCCGGTTCTCTTGGACTGGAGTTCACGGGAACAAACCAACTCATTCTCCAAAGGCAGAGGCTGGATATGCTGGGTGTCCCTGAGCCCAAGGACACTTGACTTGTATCTTAAAATTCCACAGCCCACTAACGTATCCACAGGTGCTGTTCAAGGTGACCTCCTTTGACAAAAAAGCAAAGTGTCTGTAGGACTGAAACCTCTTGAAAACTTTCATTTAAGGCAATGTAAAAAGTGTTTAACATGCTTTGAAAAAATCATATCTGAGATGTTCCTGCTGTAAAGTAGTCTGTGAACCAGTCAGACTGAACGCACGGCATCAAAAGATCCAAGAGTAAGATTCTTCTGGTGTGACCCGTATTGGCACCCTGCGTGCTGTGTGGCAGGCACAGTGGTGACCCCGGGGGACAGAGGTGTTTTAAGACCGGATCTCTAGCCCCAAGGAGTCTGGTTGGGGAAAGACCTAATGTGGCTAGTCGTGGAGGGCACTTAGGAGAAGGATTCTGATCAGGGAGCTCATGTAAAGCCCAAAGGAAGCAGAGCTTGAGTTGGGCTTGAAGAGTGAGTACCATACTGATGCTCAGAGATATGGGGGAAGGGTCTGGAAGCAGGGGACACGGGGCTGGGTATTAGTGGCGTTCTTGGGCAGACTCATCTGTGTCACTGTTGGGGAGAGGAAAAGGCCAAGGACGAATAGGAAATGGTGGGCTGTTGCCAGGCTGTGGAGGGCTTTCACACTCATCTTAAGGAGCTTGGTCTTTATTCTGTAGCTAATGGGGATCCGTGGGAAGGTTTTTGAGCAGGGAGGTAACTTAATGTTTTAAATCAGAAGCAAACACGTCAATACATACTCATTGAAAGATTTCAGCTGTACTCTAAGCAAAACAATACAAATGCTACCCTTCCTAGAGGTAACTACTGTTCTTCTTCGTGTCATTTTATTTCCCTATATCCGTAGATACAGTACATAAAAATCAAGCCCCAGAAGTGGGAAGGAAGATGGTTCTGTCATCTTCTGTTTTCCCTCCCTGCTCCCCACCCCCAATCACACCTACTTTTGCTATTTAAAGTTACATACGCGAGGACTGTAATCTAGGGAAGCCTGTGCTATACATCTTGTCACTTGGCTCATTTGGCTTTCCTTTGTTTTATTTCAGAGCATGGTTTTATTGGATATTCACCAGAACTGCTGCAGAACAACACTCTGCCTGATTACAGCCCCGGCGAGTCCTTTTTCACCGTCTTTGGGGTGTTCTTCCCAGCAGCTACAGGTATTGGCGTTGGCATTCTTTTTCACTCTCACATTAGGGGTATAAGTAAATGCTTGGTTCCCAAAACTCAGTATCATAATTGACCTGCATGTGCTCTTAGGATATATATATCTGACTTTATCGATGACTTTAGCTTTAACTAAAAATCTGTTATTTTATTTTATTTTTTTATTATTTTTTTTTTGCGGTACGCGGGCCTCTTACTGTTGTGGCCTCTCCCGTTGCGGAGCACAGGCTCCGGACACGCAGGCTCAGCGGCCATGGCTCATGGGCCCAGCCGCTCCGCGGCATGTGAGATCTTCCCGGACCGGGGCACGAACCCGTGTCCCCTGCATCGGCAGGCGGACTCTCAACCACTGCGCCACCAGGGAAGCCCGAAATCTGTTATTTTAACAGAGAGTTTACTTGTTCATAATTCCTGAAAGCCCCCAACACGATTTAATCCTCCTCACCCCTTATACTCATATGTTGACACCTCTTGGCCAAGTTAATAGAGGGGATGTATTTCTCTTAGGGCTGAACAGGATGGATTCCTCCACAGGACAAGCTGCTCTTTCCACCTCGGAAAGAGTGCAGCCTGGTCTAGAAACTCCCCTTCCCCTAACCCAACCCATGTGCCTTCTCCCAGGGGGGCAGAGAAATGCTATTGTCCTCTTATCACACTGGGTGTGGGTGAAACCAGGATCCCCCATGGGCAATGACTGAGTCTCCTTCCCCTCCCTTTCCTGCTTTCTGCTCTACAGTGGCTGCAGGAGTCTTCCACAGTGGAGGTGCCTGTAGAACTCTTGTCACCTGCTCAGGGCCCCAGCCTAGAAGGCAGTAAGCTAACATGTTTACCAAATGCTCCATAAGAAATAACCGTTTGTGAGGGACTGGGTTTGTTCCCAGGACACAGACTGAGCAAAACATTTCATTCTTGATCAAGGCAGTGTCGATGCCCTGGAGTGTGGCTGATTTTGTCTCCTTTTTCTCCTCCCTCTGCCTTCCTCCATAGAGAAAAGCTACTAGATTGTTGAAAATTTTTTAAACTGTCCATATCGAATGTGGGCAAGGATTCAGAGAAACTGGAACTCGCATACACTGCTGATGGGAATGTAAAATGGCACAACCATTTTGGAAGAGGGTTTGACAGTTTCTTAAAAACCAAACATAGACCATTCCACTTCTAGTTATCTACTACCGAGAAACAAAAACGTGTATCCATATGAAGACTTGTATGTGAAAGTTCAAAGCAACTTAATTTGTAATAGTCCCAAACTGGAAACAACGCAAATAGTCATCAACAGGTGAATGGAGAGACAAATTATGGTATCACTGTGCAGTATAAAACTACTCAGCAATTAGAAAAAATGAACTATTGATAACCTGTGACAACATAGATGAATCTCAAAATAATTATGCTGTGTGAAGTCAGACAAAAATGAGTACCTTTTTTTTAAACCCCACATTTGTTTATTTATTTATTTTTGGCTGTGTTGAGTCTTCGTTTCTGTGTGAGGGCTTTCTCTAGTTGTGGCAAGCGGGGGCCACTCTTCATCGCGGTGCACGGGCCTCTCACTATCACAGCCTCTCTTCTTGCGGAGCACAGGCTCCAGACACGCAGGCTCAGTAGTTGTGGCTCACGGGCCCAGTCGCTCCGCGGCATGCGGGATCTTCCCAGACCAGGGCTCGAACCCATGTCCCCTGCATTAGGGGGAAGGCAGATTCTCAACCACTGCGCCACCAGGGAAGCCCAAGTACCTTTTTTAAAAGGTTAAAAGTATATAAAAATCCATTTATATAAAATTCTAGAAAATGCAAACTATAGGAACAGAAAGCAGGTCAGTGAGTGTCTGGGAATGGGGGTGAGGGGAGCAGGAGGGAGGGCAAGCAGATACTGGGGGATGAAAAAATGTGGTTGACCATGGTGATGATCTCACAGATGTGTTCATGTCAAACTTTTCAGATTGTTACACTTTAAATGTGCAGCTTATTGTATATTAGTTATACCTCAGTAAAACTGTTAAAATGAAAAAAACATATTAATGACTTTAATCACCTTTAACAACTTTCCTGAACCCCGCTGCTCCCTCTGGCAGCGACCCCCTTCTGTCCTCAGCACAGCCACCCACCAGTCTTTGCCCTCCCGACTCCGTTTGCCTGTCTTCTGCTCGTCCACTCTCTCCTTTTGCAATTCCAGACCTGTCTCTCCGGAGAAATGATTCTTTCCAAAGTCATCCGTGGCTTCTGCGTCACTCAGTTCAATGGGCCTTTGCAGTCCCTCAGTGTGTGTGACCTCTCGGCTGTGTCCCACTTTCTCCTTCTTTTCTCGTGCCTTATTCTCCTCGTCTCTCTCCCGCCTCTCTGACCTGCTTTCTAGGGGCATCCTCTTCTGCCTGCCCATTAAAGGTTGGTTTTCTTCAGCCCGTGCCTAGGCCCCCTCTCTTCTGTCTCTACTGTTTCCCTTGGGATCGCATCTGTGTCCATTGTTCAGGGACCACACACAAAGCTGACGACTCCCAGATTTACACCCCCAGCCCAGACTTCTCGAAGCTTCACGTCATATATTCAAGTGCCTACGTGACATCTTCTCTTGGTATCTCAGACCCAGCGTGTTCAGAACCCAACCCATCCCACCTACCCCCCAACTGGTTCTTCTCTACTCCTGAGCTCAGGAATGGCACCTGCATCTCCCCAGTTGCCCAAGCTGCTAATGGGGGTTACTCCTGACTCCTTCTTCTTCCTTACCAGTACCCTCCAAGTTCTGTCAGTCTTACCTCCTAAACTTACCTGCCTTTACCTCCTGCTTCTCTCCGTCTCTACCATCTGACCGCACTGGTCCAAGCTTCATCCCTTACCTGGTTAATTGCGGTGGCTCTGACCTGTCCCCTCTTGAGGCTTGGTCACAGGTTTGAGGCTGGAGCTAGGCCTTGGTAGTGGCAGGTAGAATCCTGTTCTACACATCCAGGTGTGCCAGAAATAGTGCATTTCTTTCACCTTAATGAAATGGAAAGAGAGTCAGTCTCTGACTCTAAGCCTTCATTCTGCCAGGATGACAAAACTGATGTCAGTCATTCATCATGCCTCCGCCTTGCCCTGTCATTCTGTTTCAGGGTCTCAGGGTCTTACCAAGTACCAAGGCATGTTAGGTGGCTTTGGCTAGTCATCATCTGTACACAGAGCCAGGCCCTCCTGTTGTCCTATCTGCAGATCCCTTCAGGTTTATGCTCTCTGCTGCTTCTGAGCCACTTTTGGGGACTGGAAATCTGCTGAGCCTGGGAACCGTATGCTTAGAGTCTGTGTACTTCTCAGACCCTCCTTTCTGTGGTCTTGCTGGATGCCCACCAGTGCTGCCAGGGAGTAGGCCCCAGGTCCCCGTTGTTCCAGATCCTGTGGGCCTTTCTCTTCCTGCCCCTGTTCTAATACGGGCGGGGGACACTGCTGTCCCGGGCCAGCTTTGTGGGCATGGATTTATGCATTCATGCTGGGCCCCAGGCTTGGAAGGGCCGCATACTTGGTTTGATGCTTTGCTGTTGCTAAAATTCTTAATAATTTTTGAACACTGTACCCTACATTTTTATTTGTGCTGGGCCCTGCAAACTGTGTAGCAAATTGGTTTTGTCCCCGCATGCTCTCCCCAGGCTCTCTGCAGCTTTTTTTCTGCTTCCTCAGTCCTCGGAAATCTCCTAAGGGCTCAGGCCTTTGAGAAACAGAACCCAAAACAGTGTGCAGGCAAATTCTACTTCTCCCCTGCTGCATATTTCCTCCAAGGCAATAAAATAAAGGTCAGGTTCCTTTTGAATGGACAGAAAAGGAAAGGGGAAAATAAAAAAGAGGAAGAATTTTAAAAGTTAACATCTGAAAATATCCTCTGGCCCCTCCCACTCCCCACCCCCCTCCCCCGATCTTCATCCCCCTCCTGCCTCCCACCTGAGTGTTTGTTTCCTTAGGCCTGGCAGTGAGTCCTGATGCCGAGTCAAAAGCCCATGCTTGCAGACGCCAGGTTAGCAGTTCCACCTGAGGCAGGACCTCCAGGAGGCTGCCTCAGGCATGTGACTCTGCCGGCCCCGCTCCGTGCTGCTCCCTTGGCTTCCCTCCTTTGCCTCTCTAGCCCCTGCATCTTGTCAGAGAGGCGATGCCTGGTGTGAGAGAGGGGCAGGGGTGGCTAGCCTCCCCTCTGGTACTTCTCCCTCCCTTAAGGAAATAGCAGTGGCTCGAGGTTGGAAGATGCCACCCAGGGGCCCAGAATTTGAGCTGGACTAACATTTGCGATCAACTAGTCCAGCGACTCGCAACTTTTCGTCTTTGAATCCATATTCATTTTTGATAATCACTAAAAACCTCACTACCCTGGAAATTCTGATGTGCCTCGCTGGATCAGAGAGGGGTATCTTGGTCCTTTCTTCGAGAAAGATTGCTACCTAAGAATATTAGCCAAGCTTCTTTATTTTCTGTGGTTTAAATTACGAAAATATTGTTTTGTAATATTCCAAATAGAAAATTATAATATTGAACAAACTGTCTACACAGGTCTCTTTAACCCCACCCCTCTTAGGGCATGTGCTTTACTGTCCCTCCCATCCCCCCTGGCCCAGCCAGGTTGAGAATCACTGATCTGATCCTTTGTTTGACCAACTGGGAAAGGAGGAGCACAGAGGAGTTTATGAAGGATTGAGGCAGGTCACCCAGCTTTAGTGACCGGAGTTGGGCCACCACCCCTCTGTGGAGGGTTGCCTTTCCTGGCTCGCTCTCTTTTGCAGGGGCCCCGGTGTAAACAGTAGGCAGGACCGGCAATTTGTATCACTTGGCTTTCCCCTGGCAGATGTTCCATTAAGCTATGAAAAGCATGGATGATTGGCAGTTTCCATGGTGACGGATTTGCCAAGGCTTAGCTCTGAGTGAGTCATGGCTGGGGCGCCCTCCAACGCCATCCTTTTCTGGAACAAGAGAACCTCCAGGCTGTAAAGAGGGGAGAGGAGTTTGGAAGAACAAACACTTTCCGGTCCCCCCACCCTGCATCC